CTCTTCTGTGTGTTTACACTCGCTTCTAAGCAAAACATTGTGAAAACGGCATGCCTTAGACCACCACCAAAAAGGCTATTAGATTAAAGAGTATTAAAAAAACTGAACGAAACTGACACAGGAAGCAAAGTTTGTATTTCTTATAGTCATGAAATAAATACAAAATATATAAGAGTGATCTGGACGCCACACCATTTCAACAACACGGTTATGGGTATTTAGTACCTTCTATTATTTTAGTGATAACGTTGTTTGCACGGATCTTTTATTTTGTAAGTCCACAAAGCCATTTCCTGTTGTCCTTTATTGAATACAGCCAAAGTTTTGCCTGAAAATAAAACTTCTGTTTGTAGAGTGTAACAATATTATCGAATAGGGATATTATAGCCGCTGTTATCTAGTGATTTATATGTGAAAAGAAGTAATCGATTTGAGCCATGTCTAATGAAATATAAGAATACTAAATAAAGTTTCATAGTTATTTTTTTAATATAATTTATCATCGTAAGTACCTAGCACAACCACTCATATATAATAATATACACTTACACTACACTTTACATTATATATTTCTCGACCCTGGAACCAGATCTTTTCTTAAAAGTTTATGGCGCTGTTGTGTGTACCCGCTAGAGTAATAATTTGCTGCCGGTAAGCTGGTGCGTTTTGCAAAACATTATTTATTGACACAAGTATTATGTTGACCTTTCGTAGGTCATTTCCAAAAAAACTCTTCTTCTAGTGCATATTTTAACTGTTAATATATCAAAATAAAGCTTACTTCATCAATAGAACTACGGATGATGATGATGAAATTAAAATCCCATGTTCCATAGAACATAATGTTTTCTTTAAACATAACACCTGTATGGGAGGCATTTGTCAATTTCTTTCCTTCACATACTTCGTAGTGTGTCCAAGTTAGCTCGTACCAACCCTTTAATGTGAAAAAATCCTTTAATAATACATAAAGTAGTAGGTGTTCTTCATAGGTTCGCAAGGCAATTAATTTTGTGTACAAATAATACCCAAGCCACTAGGCCTAAACAATACGATCTACTAATCTCAACCCCAGAGGTTGTGCATTCCAATCCCGGTAATATGCCAAATGGATTTTTCGTGTAAACAAGTCTTTAACCCCAAAATCGACGACAAGTGTGGCTGTACTTGTCCAATAAATAAACAAAATCACCAAAAAAACAGAATACAAAACCCATTTAGGGTGTAGCGCCATTGCATTTCTTATTATTATAAAATATTGCTATAATATATTCGCATTTTATTCATATTTTATATTACTCATGTTTTTTTTAGAATCTGACTTCCAATATCAACTTCACAGTGATAAAAAAATCCAAACATAACTATCAAAACTAGCATATTTGCTAAATAGTGTCCGTTACGGAATGTGGTTGAAAAACTGTTATATAATAGAAACAGAGGAAAAAGGCTTTTTGCATCAGTTAAGTAGTAATAATAGTAAATATTGTCAGAAGTAATTAGCCATATTTTCCATTCAAGTAAATAAAAACTCTCCTAATGTATTTTTAATGAGGTAGATAAATAATCGTAATATCGTTTTAATGTAATTTACGTAACAATTTATGCTTATTTATGCTATAATTTATTTAAGAACTTTTATTTATATATTTTTATAATTGTTTCCTGATTTGATATTTTTTGGCGTCGGGACGTGACGACCCCATCGCCCACTGGTGAAATAACCTGTGACAGAGGTTATTTCATCAGCGCAATCAGTCAACCCCTTCCTAGTGGGAGTGCCATGCTGTTGCCTTCGGGCTTCAGCCGAATGGGCAGGCACGACCGGGGAAGTACCACTGTCTCTCAGAAAACCGGCGTGAAGTGATGCGGTGAGAGAGATTCCCGGAGAACACACAAGAAATATGAAGGTGCAGAAAAAACAGAATCTACCCCAGGGGGGGTACCACACGCGCTCGCGGTGGAGAATCCCCCTCTGGGCTAACTATAACCATCTTATAACTATAACCATCTTATTTTTATGTAAACAATGAAGTGGCTATATAGTGTAAACCTTTAACAATGCATGAAAAATGATATTGTTCAGAAGTGTCACTAACGGACAAGCATTAACTTTAAGAGATGACACGACAGTGGCTGGCGCCAACCATTAAGCTATGGTTTCCTAGAAAAGCGGTGCCGTTATCTAACGGCCGTAATGTAGCGTTGGGTGATGTCACCCATACGTTGTCTATAAATACCCAACGTTCTCTAGGAAACCAACTCCGATGTTATTTATAGACAACGTATGGGTGACGTCACCCAACGCTACATTACGGCCGTTAGATAACGGCACCGCTTTTCTAGGAAACCCTAGCTTTAAGATATTATTAATTTTATTTTTTTCGTTATTCCCCAACAAATCCATACACCTTTTTGCGGATCTTATTTTATCCGCGTTGAGTGAGTTCAAGGGTCTGTATTTCACTTTTGGAGGTTCTTAAGTGTACTCAGGGCACCTGCATCTTGACATCTCTTAACGACTCTTGCTCGCCTGTTAGTCACCACTTCTAAACAATATTTTTTATTTTTGTTTTAAAATTCTACGCTATATAGCCATATCTATAATATCATATAGAGGAAATATTTATTCCTATAGTAGGATCTCTTTCAAAGGCTGGTGATCATTATGGCTACTTTATTTTTTGATACTGAGACTTGATGCTTTGACCAAATATACCGGAGATTATTAAGCAAGCATCTGCGGCTGTCTACTTTCGCTTGTCATTTTGCCTTACTTGAAGGAGCTCACATTTTTTGATATTACGTCAGACTAATGAAAATAGACATAAGTATGAATTTTTTACAAATAAAATCAAATTTTACTGAAACGATATTTATAACGCCACATTCTCCCTGGTAAACTGAGTATATCCAAAAAAACTAAAGATAAATGACCAGCCATATAATATATATAAACTTAATATGTTTTAAAAAAAGTAAATAAAGTCCTTATCTATAAAGTTTATAATATCTATGAAGGTTATTAATTGTATTTGAACTCTTCATTTAATTGATAATTTATCTTTTTGTAATCATCATCTATCCCATATATAAAAGCCGAGAAAAAGTGAGTGCCATGAATATCTGGGAAAAGCAGCTCATAGACAATATTGCAATTTTATCATTTTACAATCGTATCAAATGTTTTCCAAGTACACTTAAGGAATTTTCAGATGAATTTATAGTGTTCTGGAACGCGCCCAAGTTATTCCACAAATTCATGTATGGAACTGCGACCGTGCATTTTTCCCCAGCGATTTTGGAATTACGCAACACTTTAAAGCGTTGTATCGGAACTTGGTTTCGAATGAAAAGCTTTCAAATAGCCACTAAGCTATGTTTAAGCAATTTAAAGTTTTGAGTTAAATATTTATTTTATTTCACAATGAAATATAAAAAAAAGTTGTTATAAACTGAAACTGAAACTCAAAATAACTTTATTCATATAGTTTTCCACAATTAATAATTTTGTTTATAAACTTCTCTGTGCATTAATTACATTTTAGTTCTGTTTATATAATTTAGCTAGTGCAATTAAACCCGTTTCTCTTTAATAATATTCTTATTACACAAAGGTAGAACATACAAGGCGAAGAAAACGTGTGTACGAACAATAATCCAATAAAATTGTTTATAGACAACGCACACACATTTGTCAAATAGGCTTGACAAGTAGAATTTGGTTAGCGCGTTTTCTGCGCTTAGGAATAAACCACGCAAAACCCAAGAAAACATAGGCGTCATCTGCATACTGTATAAAACATTTTCATCTATAATTTCGTGTTTTTAAAAGACAAATTCGATAAAGTGACTTAAAATTGACAGTAACTCACTAAATTGTGAATCATTTTCGTCTATTAAAAATATATCAATGGCTGGATTTCTATATCTATTTCATGATCATTTGTCAAGCTAATAGGTAAGCGATCAGCCTCCTGTTTCCTCCAGATCCATCACGATATATTCCTTCGCCGTTCGAGCGAATGTTAAATACCATAGAAAGAAAATCCATTGGTGCAGCCGGGGATCGATGAGAGTCGAACACAGAAGCCACTAGGCCAACACTGCTCAACGACATGATCAAAACAAATATTTAAATACGCCCACAATTCTTAATTTTTCATACTGAACCTTATTTTTCTTTACGAAAACTAGGTCAATCCAAAAAATATTACCGTAAGATGAGACAGATTTCTCATTTTGGCTAGCAAGGGCCCCAATATTAATCCCAAGTGACGCTCCCAAACACCTATCAAACTGACGGAACTACAAAGAAAAATATGGAACATCTCATTTCTTACAGATAATTGACATTTGATGATGATGAATAGGATATTGTGTTATTATTAACTTAGTATTAGTTATTAAATAATAACTGAAATACTATAATTATCCAGTAAATTTATATGTATAATATAATTTAATATCAGAAATTCGTTAGTTGTTATCACTAGTCGGTTTACGAATTAAAAAAACATGTTGTATATTAATATTTGTTTTAGACTCTACTAGCATACTGGCATAGTCGAAATTGAAAAATTTTGAACTAATAAAAATAAATTTAGTGTAGTAGAGTGAGTATTTTTGAAATTCCATGTGCCTTTATATTCTCGGGAAAACTTAGCAGGGAAAGTCTTAAAGTAATTGAAAGAATCAAGTACGTGCCTTTGAGGCGTGATGGAAACACTTCAGGCTTCAGTTTTGGAGGTTACGCCGTGTAGGATGGCCGTTTCGCACGCAAACTTTGCCGCCAAATTCACGTAGGCTTGCATTTTTACTCTGCGGTGCGTTTCTCTGGATTTTACCATCCGCTATTAAAATAATGTATTTATTAGTTAGTGAAAGACGTGTTTTTCTAAGTTTTTCTCTGTAATAAAAGATATCCTTTTAGCGTATATAAAGTGTTTTTTTGTGGTAATTCGTTCAGTGCCCATGTGCCTAATTATGTGATTTCAGAAATGAATAGATTAGATAAGATAAAGGATGACAAACATAATAAAGGAAACTGTAATAATCAAAATAAAATTTTAGGTAAGTTAAAAAACATAAGTGTGTATTTTACTACTTAATAACATGTCTTGTTATTGAGTAGTATCATGTCATGGTTAAATATTTTTCTATATATTTTTACATAAATAATTATTATAGTGTAACATAATAATTTATAGAAATTAAACAATATTAAACATCTTTAATAAATCAAAATACATACGTTATAATGTATAAACTCTTACAAAACGTATTAGAATTAATATATAATTACGTTGAAAGGAATTCTAATATCTTCTCTCTTGACGTCTTCAAAGGAAATCCTCTCAAAGCATCCTTCTTCATTCACTTACTGATTTTCCGTTTCACATACTTATAACTTTATAAAATTTAAAATTATTGACGAATATTATTTATGTCTTATCTATTATTATATTTTTATTCATTTTAGGAACCAGCTGCTAAAATTTCAAAATAAAATCTCGAATAATGCGTAACAAATATGTTTTTACTAAACCAATACGTTCAAATTTATAAATTATCATATAGTAAATTTTTAAGCGAAATATTTCAGTAAATTAATAAAAATTTCTCATAATATCTAATAATCTTAAATGTCCAATTACAAGTGATGTCTGACGTTCACTAATAAAACCATAGACAAAGTTCGACTACTATTATACGTATATAATTGAATCGACTGAGCGTTCGACAATTCTACGTACGTTTGGCTACCCAAATTGATATCGATATCGCTAACTTACCATAAGCGTTTCAATGGAATAGATATGGAGGGTATGCCACTTGTCTGGAGGGGGCTAATTCTTATACTTAAAAATATGAACTAATTATAAATACCAATACATCGTAAAGCGATATGCTTGCTAACAATAGTCATTAGTTGTAGAAAATACTACTGCTTTTACATAGTTATGTAATCAAAGTTCGCATATTCCTTTGTCGTCTGCTGCTATCAAATTTTTAGTGGTTTGGGTTTACAACCGGGAAATCAAATATAATGTACACATTATAGACCCGAAATCCCTAATAAAATTGAGAAAACCTGTTCAAAAGTTTTTTGACTTTGTACAATATATTTATTTGGCTTATGCGTAATTCAGCTTGATATCGATGGATCTCACGATGTTTTCCTTCACCGTTTGAGCGAATGTTAAAAGTGCTCTTAGAAAGACAGTCCATTGGAGCACAGCCGGGGATCGAACCTACGACCTCAGGGTTGAGAGTCGCACGCTGAAGCCAATACTGCTCAACAAGAAGCTTTAAAAATTGATGTTAAATTTGCGACCTTAATTAGTAAAAGTCTTCCATAATACTTCTTATATAACTTTAATATTTTGCAGAGCTGGACTTGGATTACCTTGAACGTGGAGGGGGTGGAACTTTAGCGGTAGGGGGAAGCCCCAGCGTGGAGCCGAGCCCCGATAGCCTGGACCTGGTCAAAGTGGTTCTTCTTGGGGCACCTGCTGTGGGGAAGACTAGCATCATTCAGGTGAAAAGTTATTTTTGGTAAAATATACATAGTTAGATAATTTTATTCTACTCTTTATGGATTTTATATTTAAGTGTGGGTGCGATATCATGATAAACAACTGAGTATACAAACACGAATACAAATTATTTTCTTGCTTTAAACACATTGCATACACAGTTACCATATCTTATTTGCACGAACTAACAGAACCTTTGTGTACAACAAAATACCTCAATTCCAAAGGGATTTCTTCCCTTTGTTCAGAAAATAAGCCTTTTGTATTATTTGGCTAACATGTATCGGAATAATCTGAATAAAAGTAAATAGTAACACTGTTTTAAGATACTTTTTGTTTTGTAGAAAAATAATTTTAAAATTTTTATAGGAACTAAGCGGTATAATCTAAGTAATGCTTCTTATTTATTTAATCAGTTGCATGGTAAAACATACTATTGAATGCTGGTTTTAAAGTAATATAATTGTTTAAGAGCTTCTATAATATAAGATAACTAAATTGTCGCCCTTAGAGTTGTGTAACTCGTAAATATCTCAAAGCTTAGGACATTAATAACTTTTACAGATTTACACCTACAGATCTTCTAATTTACGATTCTCCAAGCAAATCATATCGTTCAGTTAATCTTTGACGGTGTAATATATTTTTCGTGAATTAATTATCTAGTATCAAAAAACAGTACAATAAACGCAATAAAACAAATATGTATATAAAGTAAAACGATAAAATTTCATCAACTCACTAAATAATCTATTCCAGTTTTAGAAAATAGTTGGTATTAAATGTTATCATGAGATATTTCAGTTAATACCCTGAAAGCTATCCATCTGATTACAATCTCTAGTGACTTTCCCTTGAAATAACTCGGTCATTTGACACCTCAATTAACCTAATCGGTACACGGACAGCGGAGCTGTGCTTGAATATACAAAAAAACACATGGAATTGATAACCTACTTCAATTTTTTTTGAATTCCGTTAAAAAGATACAGTGAATAATATACCTTCATTTCTTAGCGCTATGCGAATGATATTAAATTTTGAAATTCTGCCGTAAACGTTAAACACAAAACAACATTAGTTAATATCATTCTTATTAGTGCCAACATCGCAACCTCATAATATCCAAATGGGCTTTTACGAAGCAATATCAACGTACGTGCTCTTAATATTTGCGATTAAACGAGCTTTGGGTGAACGATATTTCAAATATTAAAACGGAAACTCAAAATAAATCATTACCGTTTTAATTAACTCGTGGCTAATGAGTACAAACAACGCAAAGTATAAAGCATTTTAAAATAAAACAGGTTCATTTTCTTCAATAGATTTAGCCTAAAGGCTAAAGTACCATGTTCGTTAGTAGAGCACTCGACGCTCTGAACTGTCAAGTGTCCGAAACATTTTTAGCGGATCTCTCTAGCTGAAGCTGGACATGTTTTATTTTCATAAAGCAACACATTCAATTTCTTATTCACAACATTTAACGTTGGTCGTAACGTGATGACAGTTGACAGCCTATATAGCCTTCCTCAATATCAACTTTGCAACACAAAAAGATCTTTTCAATTTGGACTAATAGTTCTTGCAAATGAACTAGTTTAAGCAACCAAACGAAAAAACAAAGTCTTACTTTTTATTATAACATATGCTTACCCTCACTTTTACACCATCACACAACACAGCCAAATTAGGTATCTCTTAGTTAAATATATTGAATTTTTATTGGTCGTTCTCTTTTGTAAATTTTTAAATCTTTTTGTAGGTAAATAATTAGTTAGTGTAATTGTTTTTATTACATATATTTTTTGTTAGCTGTAGGAATACGAAATATATAAATAATATTAAGTACTAGCGATCTGCCCAGACTCCGCACGGGCAGACGTGACACCTTGAGAATAATTATGATGGAAACCGCAATAAAATCCACGTAGTTTTTGAGTTTAGTGAGACACAGCGGAGGACTTTGTATATAATATAAAAGATAGGCATATGCTGTCACTCACTACTTTATAGGTCATCAAGCTCTACTACACTGTTAAGGCAGCGTTTCTAAGAAACATTATCGCACAACAGTATTCTCCGAATTATTTTGCAAATCCGACTACAACCAAAAAGTTTTTAAATTTTATATTTTTCAGTTTAATATGCCACTCACAAATAACGTTTACACTATTGCTAAACTACGCCCTACAACCTCACCAGCTTTACCGCATTTATAATACTAATATAAATTGATATTAGTAACTAATTAGATACGTCTTTAGGTATTGTGTACTGACATTAACATTTGTTACAGCAATTCGTGTGGAGCGATTTCTCCGAAGAATATGTGCCAACTGACCGGAAACATACTTTTTATCCATCTGTAATAATAAACGAACATCTATATGAGGTGAAAATAACAGACGTGCCAGTTATCCCCTATTTTCCCATTAATTCGTATTACGAATGGGCCCACTACCGATTTTACGGACTTCGAAATGCCACTGCCTATATACTTGTCTTCGATCTTTCCAATGTCGAAACCTTTCAATATATTAGAACGTTGAGAGATCAAATGGTTGAGAGCAGAGACATGAGGAACGTTCCCGTTCTTGTGGTTGGCAATAAGCAGGATTTGTTATGCAGCGCCGCGCCTACAGCTGCCAGTGGTTTGCAGCAGTTGGCAATGGCGGAGAGTGCGTGTGGTGATTCTCGTGAAAAGCGAAGAAACATAGTTAATCTTGTGCGTAAGCATTGGAAGTGTGGCTACGTTGAGTGTTCGGCAAAGTATAATTGGCGAGTCATTGCTGTGTTTAAGGAGTTGATGGAGATGATTGATGCGCTAGAGTGTACTGGTGGGGTCAGGAGTGCTGAACCTCCCCCTGAGTCATCAACAGGGCAAGCGAATGAGAATCGATGTGCGGTTGCTTAGCATCTTTCGGCGTTGAAACGATATGTGTTCCGGACACTTTTATTTTCATCAAACCATGAGTAGGTATATGTAAACGAGCCTGTAATGTCTGATGCAGCAATGTTACCAAATAACTTTATAGCGACTTCAACTACTGATTCAATAATTAAACTTAAACTTATATATTACTGATTGTCTCATAATTTAAGTTTTTGTGTTTTTAATAATACTTGTTGACTTAATCTATAATATTTTTAGCTCCAGACTTAATTTGCTACTTCCTTCCTATTATAATTAACTTTGTGTCTAGAAATTTCTTTAAATTTTCTTAAAATTTTAGGAAGGAGCTCTAGAAACCGGTGCTCCATCATTTCTATTTTATGAAGATGGAATAATTGCTGCATTTCCGTCTCCATGGGATAGCTAGATAGAAGTTTCTTATTGAATTTTATTCCCTGAGTAACAAAGAAATCTGAGTTGATTTGTTGCTTTCATAAGCACAAACTTACTACAATATTCAAATTAGAATCAGTATCGGTATCAAAGTGGTAAGCTTGTTGCATTGGGATTCAGTGTTATAATATAAATCTAATCGAGAGAAACGTAACTTGTTGACTTCATAAGAGAGCACATAGCTATGTTTTAGTTAATATTTTATCAATTATAGATGTACAAATTAGCAACTTCATCATATCAATTTCATTTCTAAAATCAATTGTATTGCTCAAATTAAACTTTATTCGATCTTTTGTAAATACAATTCTTAGGGCATAATACATTGTAATACTCGTCTACGAGTATCTCTAGTTATCTAATGTTAATTTAATGGATTGTCAGATTTGTACCTAGTTTAATATAAATTACATTTAAATACTTTAAATTTATTGCGAAACAATAAATAGTATTTTGCTACGCACCGTTGCCAGATATATTAATAGCACTTTTATAATAGTATAGACAATGCAAGCTATCTTGAACACCGAATTTAATATAGTTTTTGTAAATTTTTTCGCACATATTTATGCGTATGATACAAATGACACTATCTTTTAAGTGACACAATTGTGGTATAATATTAAGCTGTAATAAAAAAAAATACTATACTATATATTTGTTGTAAGGTTTTCGTATTCTATATTACTATATAGTGACACCATGAAGAGTAAATTATGATATGAGTTTAAACGGTCTTAAGGGGGGATTGGGTAATAAAATATTTAAAAAGAAAGAGCTTCGTTTGGGTGTGATTCATCGAAAGCATCACTAGTCAAACATCAGACCAATCGCAATAAACGAGACGTTTTGAAGCTGGTGTGATTTTAATCTTGTATAAACAATTTTTTAAATTTACAAACATCCTTTTTTATTTTTATGATAAACACTTCCTGCTTACATCGTAGAACTCTACAAAAATCATCAGACCACTATGGTTTTGGCTTTGCGTAGGTAATAAAGACAAACAATACGCCAAAGTTGCGATATTAGTGCTACAGAATCTGTTTCGCTATTGATAGTAACAGACTAGCACAGTATTATTTTTAGAAAATTATTTGTTTCAGTATACAATTACTGTATATATAATAGTAATAAAAAAGTGTTTTTTTGTATTTGCATAAACTACTAAACGGTTGAATAAATTATAGGAACGTTGAAGTTACTTTTTTCTCATTTCACGTAAATATTTACGCGGGTAGTAAGCTAGAATCTTAAATGTACTCCGAGTTGTGCTTTTGTACCCTTGCGCTTCCTATTAGTAAGTATTATTTTTAGATAGTTATACCCTGTCTTAGTCTACTCTAGCGTAAGTTCTACACTTAGATTAAGATTACATACAATTTTGTGTTGACGACTCTAAAAGTCCATACCACATTTTAATTGGGGCTTAGTAAGCTTTTTAAAAGCCCTCGTACCGTTTGAGCGCCTGTTCGTTTATTGCCCACCCGAAATGGTCAACTTGACTGTCAATGTTTATTTGAAACAATGAAAGCTTACTGCGAACTATACGTATAATTGTTAATAAAGAATGCTAAAAAAAATGTAAAACTTAAAACTAATAAGGGCAACAGTTAGAGGTTTCAATCAAAAAATTCTTGTAACGATTTTTTTCGCCTTATCTTGTTAATAACAACAGCTTCCAACGAAGTCGATAAGCGTATAATTTTTTTATCTATAAATCATTATTCGTAGATAACAGTAAATATTGATCATCTTAAACGACTGTATCAAGTGGGCAATAAATTTTTACACATTTTTAAAGTTTATGGAAATCAAATTTGTAAATATGTATTTTTTTATGACATCATTTTCATTCTTGATTTTTAATATTAATTTTACTATTTAAAAAAAAATCAATGAGGCATAAGTTTGTAGCGAAATCTTCATCTAGCAACATTAGCTAACTTTATTGGTTACAATAGTAAATTTTCAGTTAATATATAAAAATACTTGTGGACCCCACAGACGTTGTCCTGCATGATATTTAAAGCGATTAGGATATTAAGCAAAGTATGAAAACCCCCCCCGCCGCCCCCTCCCCCGGGCTGATTTGATGATAAACCATCCCAGATCCCCTGGAACACACAAAAAATTTTTTTTTAATTTGGTTCCCGGGGGGGGACAGAAGAAATATATATATTAAGATTGTGTTGAAGTTTTTAACATTATCTATAAAAATGTTTCACCTTCCGTGTTTGGCCTAAAATGATACTTAATAATAATTGTACTTTTCGTTCTTATATTTATTATATATTTAAAATAGGATTATAATATGTTATTTGGAGATGTGTGCTTTGTTAGATATTGTTGCATCGATGTTATTATTATAAGTTATATATAAGTCGTTAAAATAATTTTGTACAGTCAATGTGAGAGATTAGTCATTAAATATGTTATACAAACGTTAAACGATGCAATAAACAGTTGTGAATAAAATTCTTACGTTTATTTTTCCCTTGTGAGCTACTACGAGGCCTCAACACACTTTTGTACTAATGAAAAATCATACGTACTTACTCTGATATATTTCTTATCAGAAAAACAATTTCTATAGAAATTATGCTTAGTTAGAAACTTGTACTAGATCAACGAAGATCGCTCTCTATAATAGGTTTTTATACAATTAAGCATTATTTTTCATTGTGATGGCGACAGGGTGATCAGGCATCCATACAGCGTCCATATTTAGTTCTAAAACTTAGCAACAGATCAGTAGAATAAGCCATACACACAGCTGGTGTAATTACTACTAAGTTCACCATAGGTTTAATACACTCACCATTGGGTTTAGTTAGTAGTTCTTGAGCTTAAACGACCGATCATTTATTTAGTACTGCCTCATGAAGGCGTCGAAAATGTATATATTTTGGGCAATGTTTAAAAAGACTTAAGTACCGGTTTAGTATATTCTTAATTTTGAAAAAAAATACCTCGTCTTGTCCTAACCAATATCAACGAGTTTTATCGAAAAATTATAGCTATCATTCAAGAATTAAATTATACTAATATTATGATTGTCTTATAATTAGGAACATCGCAAAAACTAAAAATACTAATAACTGGCGAGCAACTGCAACTTGTCGACCTTGTCATTAGCAAATATTGCATGATATTTTCGAATTTATTTAGCTGCAAGTAGTCAACTATAGCTTGCTAACCAACTTGTAAATTACAAACTTTATTAAATCGTATGTTATAATACTGTATTTAATTTTCGAATAGCTACTAAACATTTCAGAATAAATAAATGGATTAAAATGTATTTATTAAAGAATTTGACCACTCTCCACTCTCTCCACTTGTCGACTGCTTGTTTGCTTGTTGAATGCAAAAAAAAATAATTAAATAATTTAATTTAATTATATTTATATTATTTTAATTAAATTTCATTATATTTATAACATTATTACAGAGGTCTGGATAATTCAAATTCAGATCTAGTTGAATGATCTGGTGGTTTGGGATATATGTAATGATGCTTAAAAATATTATCCCAGAAATGTACACTCTCTGGATTAAGAGCATCTCGGTACTCTAAAGTACTATTCAACGACATAAAAGACCTATCAAGAGACATTGTTGGCCAGGCAGGGTAACTCGATCCTTGTGGAACAGGAGCACTGGAAAGATAGAAAAACATCAAATATTTCTAATATTCAGCAACTATCACGTATTAATCTCATATAATTAAAAACATATATTTTTCAAAACCACTCACCCAGTTGTAATAAAATTTAACCACAGCTCTCGCATAACCGCCTTCATCTTCTTAAATTCATCCGATAGCGTTTTTTCATTAGGGTCATCTAAAACAGCAGTGTTCTGAGCACAATGTGTAGCACCTTTATTCGTGGTGTTCAGAATAAATGGGTCATTCTCGTGAACAAATGAATACTCGTAAAGATATAACTGATTATTTCCAGCCTCTAATTGAAGTCTTGCAGATCGAAGCATTCCGTACCCAAACATTATGTCTGTAAAGAAATCTATGTATTTAGAAACATTACTATCAGAAACAGGCTCTTTACCAAAATAGAACTCTTTGATATCATTGGCTAGTGTTTTCCTTTTTTTTAAACTTGTACCCAAGTCGGGTGGTAGAAAATCAAGGAAATTTTCATTCATCTGTGTTTTCCATTCATCAAAACGATTTATTCGAAAAAGTCCTTCCATTTCGCAAAATCCGTAGAGCATAGGTAGTTTTGTATAATTTTTACTCTCCAGTATTTTCACAGGACTTTCATCTAAGCTCATTTCTTGTCCGACATCTTTTTCGATGCATGGTGAAAATAATACCACTGAATCAGTTCTTGAATATAATAGGACTGTACCATTCGCCAAAACTTCGTAGGGTGTCTCTAAATAAAAATTTTCCAAAGCTTCTAAGTCGTTAATGTTATGGAAACCGAGTAGTTGAGCAAATAGTTGAGCATTCTTTAATGGATCTGTTTGCACACTAAAAGCATTAACATTAGAACTACTTCCTGCTATCACTTTATGAAATAGTCCTTCTGCCATCTTAGAAACAGCTAAAACATCTACTGAGACTGAACCAGCACTACATCCAGAAATCGTTACATCATTTGGATTTCCTCCAAATTTTTCGATGTTATTTTGTATCCATCGTAATAGTGCTATTTGATCTTTAAGTCCAGCATTTCCTGGAGCTGCTTTTGTACCAAGGCATAAAAATCCGTGGGGCCCAAGTCGATAATTAAACGTCACTGCTATAACTTTTCCACTTTTGACTAGATTCTTCGGAGTTCGTGAATTACCAAACCCGTATAAAAAGGCTCCTCCATGTACAAAAACAACTACGGGTAAGTTTTTGATTTCCCCATGGGGTACAAATATATTCACTATGAGACATTGTACTTGTATATTAGAATCTATAGTATTTTCTCGACGAGGTTGTTGGCAAATTGTTTTCTTATCGATTGCTTCAAAAGTTCCATTCCACGTTGGTGGTGGTAACGGTGCCTGTGATTTTAATTTTAAATAAATTAATAAAGAAAAACGTTCTGATAGATGTCCGATATACCAAAATAGAAAACTTACCGAATAAAATTTATATCCTGTTGGTACAGTAGCGTATGGAATATTTTCAAAGGTGAAAATATTTTCTTCTGGCTGTCTATATCCTCGGACCACACCTTGACTTATTGTTACATCTCGATAACTTGGAATTTCAGAGACCACTATGGGAGTGTTATAAAAAAATAGTATAATTATTATTCTTCCTACCACATTTTCAAACATTGTAATGGCGTAATAAACAATTGAATAAAGCTTTAAATAATATTCGTTGGAGAGGTAATTGATAAGATAGTACTATTTTCGTATTTATAAGTATCTGTCACGAAATTATGAAATGTATTTACAATATTTTATAAGTATATATGCGCGGCTCAAGATAAAACGCGATGGTGATGCATTTTGGACGCGCACCTAGAAAAGAAAATGTGACAACTTTTAATAATAATTTAACGTTCATTTGGTATGATAGTAATCTAGTAGCACTCAGTATGAATTTAAAATAAACCCGAAAGCCTCAGTAAAGTTCTCCCAACAAGAGTCACCGTGTATGGCTAACGCGTTTTTATAACTGTTGCATAGTTTATACCAAATACTACTCGATAAGACAATACACAATTAAAAACCTGACGGTTAGGTATTGTTTTTCACCGCATGCAAGGTCAATGTAAAATTAAATATGATATTTTCAGGTCGCTGGTTAAACGGAGCTGTTTAGTTAAAAGGCTAGGCTGTTAATTGAACGGCATATTAAGCTAGTTGGCTGCGACATATAAATGCATTTTATCTTGATTGACAATACTCGTAAGATAGTGTCATAAAAAAAGGTTATCGGTTTTAGTATGTCATTAATCGAACTTTTTATCTTACTCGTTCGAAAACATTATGAAATACCTTCGACGGATAAGTAGTGTCTGCATGATGGCACGTACTTACAATAGGACCGATTGAGTGATCCCACTTCCCTAAATACACAAGCTTTTTCGCTATAATTTTAATTATTAGTTAAGATTATTGAAACATTTAAATTATGTTAAATATAACTTTGAATTTTATTGTGAAATGCTCTGCCTCTACCCCTGTACCCCTAATTAATACTATTGTATCGATAAACCCATTCGTTATGTTACCTTTGTATGTAAAGGTTGTTAAAGGTCGCGTCACTGTAAGCTGCCCTGTTAGTCACTACTACTAATCTCACCACTTTGATCGGTCTATTGCTTCTATTGGCACAGCTGTTATTGCAAACCCGTGAGAATCGTGACTTGGTCACGACCTACGACAACCAGCTTGTCTTGGGTATCTGTTTCGCGACAGGTGATATGACCATAGTAACTTAGAACTCTGCTATACCATGTTGTTGAGAGTCTCGTACAAACTCTGAGTTAATCCAAGTTTGATTATAAAGTCCTTTTAGCAGTCAATGGTATGCGAAGCATCTTTCTCCAATACCACATCTCCAGTGAATCAATCCTTTTCCGATCTTGCGCTCGTATCGCCCATGACTCCGATCCGAAAGAGAATATAAACAAAACCAAAGCTCGCACAATTCTCATCTTAGTTATATTTTAGACTTTCTTATCTTGACAGTTCGTTAAACTGCTGATAGAATTTTTGGCGATTTGTATTCTTCTCTTGATTTCGCGTTTACTACCTCCCTGATCAGACAGAAGTGATCCAAAATAGACATATTCCTTTACAAATTCCAGTTCAGATAGTTCTACTCAGTTCTTGTGAGATTTCCAGTTCTGTCTATTCCAGCTATGTATTTTATTTTATTTTTCAGGTTTGTATTTTTGATCAATCAATTTTACGTTGAGGAAATAATTAGAAAACAATTTTTTTAACACTTGTAATGATTTTATTATCTTTAATAGATTTTGGTTGATATTTCCACATCATATTTAGGTGAAGCTCAACTAATGATACCAAGTATGACTACATATATGGGACTTCGAATTTATGAAAAAATTTAGTTGTCTGTAACCTTTTACAGACGATAATTTTACGTGATAACGTCAACACATTAACGTCACTAAATTATAATTATTTTGTACACAATTTTTTTGTAAAATAATTTGTAATACAAAGAAGCAGTTAGTTAAAAATATTTTTTTTTCGATAAATTATATCTAGACACGTTAATACAAATATTTTTTTTAATAATTAAAGAACAATTATATAAGATTATATACTACTCAAATTCATAAAATGCCAGAATTATTTATCTTTTTTGCTGTAATTGTTGTTGAAATAAACCATGGAATTCACAACAACGTAACGTGACAATGCATCATGTTACGCTCGGCTAAGGCGGAACGTGACAATTTTCGTGCGTGTAGCCGGCGTTCATCGATTTATAAGACGTTATCACGTCAAAATAGTAGGATAACAAGGATTTAAATTTATGGATTACATTAAAATAAAAGTACGCATAAAGAGTAAAAAGAAATTATGTTTATTAGTTGACACACATAATTATATAAATATAAACACATTTATCAACATGGACATAATATATCATTTAAGAAATTAATAGGTTATTAATATAAATATTAAAGCTGCATTTAAAATATAAATAGTACTTTGAAATCTAAATCCAAAACTTGTAGGGTTAGGTGGTGACGGAAACTTATAATATTCTTTAACTATATCATCCCAAAACTTAGCTCTTTCTGGCATCAAAGCGTCTCTGTACTCTAAAGTACTATTCAAGGACATGTAGGACCTCTGAAGCGACATAGGTGGCCACGCTGTGTAATTAGATCCATGCGGAACTGGAAGTCTGAAAATTTAAATAATTTATGACAAACTATTGTTGATGAGGTAATGTGTTGCGAAAATACAATTACCTAATTAATCATCTAACATTTTAGTATAGTATATATAAATGATAAATTAAGTTCATAAATATGTTATATGATAGATTAATTGAAATAAGAACATAATATTTCTGTAAAGTTATTAAGCTTACCCAGTTGTTACAAAGTTCAACCATAAATCCCGCATAACTTTTTTCATATTTTGATATTCAGGTGATAATTCATTTTCATTGGGAAAATCCATAACAGCAGCTTCTTGAGCACAATGTGTTGCACCTCTTTTGTTAGTATTTGGAATTAAATCCATGCTCTCATCAACAAAAGAATACTCGTAAAGATACAATTGATTATTTCCAGCCTCCACTTGAAGCTTTGCAGATCTTAGCATCCCGTAACCGAACATAATGTCTGTGAAGAAGTCTATGTATCTCAAAATGTTACTTTCAGACACTTGTTCGTCACCAAAATAGAATCTTTTAATTTCTTTGGCGAGTGTTTCTCTTTCTTTTAAACTATTACCCAAGTCAGGCGGTAAAAAGTCGATAAAATTTTCATTCATTTGAGTTTTCCAATTATCAAAAAAATTTAATCGGAATAATCCTTCCATGTCACAAAAACCGTAAAGCATGGGAACTCTTACGTAATCTTTGCTTTCTATTATTTTCACTGGGCTATCGTCTAAGAAGACCTCCTGTCCTATATCTTTTTCAATGCATGGTGAAAATAATATCACCGAATCTCGTCTCTCATGTAAGTAGTTTGTGTAACTTAGCAATGTCTCATACGGTGTGTCCAAATAAAAGTTTTCTAAAGCTTTTACATCGTTAGTGTTATTGAACCCTAATAGTTGAGCAAATTGTTTAGCATTATCTAATGGTTCTGTTTGAACACTAAAGGCGTTTGTGTTAGCACCACTTCCAGCTATCACTTTGTGAAATAAACCTTTTGCCATCTTTGAAATCAATAATAAATCAACAGATGAAGAACCAGCACTACATCCAGCGATGGTGACATCGTTAGGGTTTCCTCCAAAATGTTCAATATTATCTCGTACCCATCGTAGGAGCGCTACTTGATCTTTTATTCCAGCATTTCCGGGAGCGACATCAGTACCTAAGCATAAAAATCCATGCGGCCCAAGCCTATAATTAAATGTTACAGCTATGACTTTACCACTGTTAACTAGGTTTTTTGGTTGTAAATTATTCCCGTAACCTATTAAAAAGGCTCCTCCATGAACAAGAACGACTACCGGTAATTTTTCTTGTAAACTGTCAGGTTTATATATATTAGCAATAAGACATTGTTCTTCAATTTTAGAATCGTTAGGTATTAGTCCTACCCCAGCTTGATGACACGCTATTTTCTTATCTGTAGCTTCAAACGTTCCATTCCACGTGGGTGCTGGTAATGGCGCCTGTAATTTTTGTATATTTAGTATAAGTGATACAAAAACGAAATTTAAACCAAATTTATGTACCATGTACCAAGATTCTTGAAATCGGAATTTATATTTCCGCGTATTAATCAATCTACTTCTAGTTTAAATATTTTTATACAAACATAATTTTTTAAAATCAATCTAAAGAAAAAACTTTTTAACCGGATTAAAGTTATGTATTATTATAAATTTAAAATTATTTAACATAATTTTAAATTTATCCGACGTTTCGCGTGCTTTACAGTCGGTAAATTTTAAATTTATAATAATACATAACTTTAATCCGGTTAAAAAGTTTTTTCTTTAAATGTGTAAAGGTTATGTTAATCAAAGACAATACTAAAATCAATCTTTTGCAATCAAGTAGTGAATTTACCTTGTAAAAGTCACGCCCAGTTGGTACAGTAGCATAAGGTATACTTTGAAAGGTAAAAATATTTTCACCAGGCTGTTTATAACCTCGCACAATACCTTGATTTATTTTTACATCGCGATAGTTAACACTTTGTGTATAAACTACAGAGAACCCACTTAAAATAAGTAACAATACAACTATTTTGTCTTCCATGTCGTGGGCAAGATTGCACTGGAATAACGCAATAACGCTGACATTATCAAACCGAGTGAAACTTTGAATATTTGTTTTTTCAGAAAGATAAGATAAACTTTCTTATTAATTCGTATTATAAAAATCGATATCATAGAAATGTGTTATCATATTCTGTAAATAATAGCATGGCGCATAAGTCATACTTAATTTACATTATGTGATTAGACATATACTGGACGTAAGCTGAAAAAATATTTTTAGTGCCTTTCTGACTAGAGCGTTACTTTATTTAGAGCTAGTAGACATCTATGTTTTTTTTTAGTTTTTTTTTTTCTTGCTGATTTTATAATGTTATATCTATATTAGGGGGGGGGAATGATGAATACCGTCGAGGCAGAGATGGACGTGATGATGCAGCAACTAACTTTAGTGTTACATAAACTTTCATTTACATTTTCGTTCATCTTCTAAATGATTTGTTTTTTTATTAAATAGCCATATATGATTTTCAAAGAGTAATTTTTTATATAAATATTTGATAAATTTTGCGTCTGATTAGATAATAGACTTGATAATATTCAGATAGTATAAGACTGATGAAAATGTATAAACTCTCATAGCTTACTTAATTATAAGCGCTTCTTTTATATGAGAAACAACAGCTTGAAGATAAACTTATAATACTTATAGTTTAATTCATAGGTGATCTCTACGCAGGTAAGTTTTGGTTAAACCGAAACTGTCGGGGAACTTGGATTTCTATTATATTTAGCATAAACATCATCCCAAAATGACGCCCGGTGCTGTAGCGGTTTCATTTCTAATGTTTGGTTCAATGACATTATCTGAATGTTTTCTTTGGTAATAGAAGGCCAGTGTGGTAAAGAGCTTCCATGTGGACACGGTTCTCTGTAAGATTGTTTATAACTTTAATTTAAAAAAAATTATTTGATATTTATCGTTAATGCATTAAATGATTAGATATGTCAGGTAAAAATTACGACTGATTAATATACTTTTACGTACCCAAATTTTGCAAAATTGGTATACATTTCCCTGATAATTCTTTTCATTTCCTTATATTCGTCGGACCGTTCATGTTCCTTCTCTGAATCAAAGAACATAGTAGTTTGACTACTATGAGTGGATGCCGGAATATCTGTATAATCAATTTTTGGTGATTCTGCAGAAGTAAATGAGTATTCATACGAGTAAATATTTTTATGTCCCGCTTCTAAATGTAACTGTATAGCTCTAAGTATTGGATGAACGTACATTGTATCCGTAAAGTAATTTACGAATAATAAAATATTTGCTTCGCTTATTTTGTCTTTACCAAGATAATATTCTACAACTTTCTTTGTTATTTCTTCTCTTTCATCTTCTGAGGGAAATTGAAGATCAGCAGGCAAAAACGAGGAAAAGTTTCTGTTCATTTCTTCTTTCCAATCTTGAAATGTTGGTAGCCGATATGTACCCTCCATCTCTGTAAAGCCATACAGCATAGGTACCTGTGCATATTCTCCGCTTTTAAGAATTTCAAATGGACTTTTATCAAGCATAACTTCATCACCAACATCACGCTCGACACACGGTGTAAATAAATAATCTTTTAAGACTGTTGTGTCTATTGAAGTCAAAACTTCATAAGAAGCATTTAGGTAAAAGGTTTCTAAAGCATTAATATCATCAACATCATCGAATTTCAGCATTTGTGCAAATGACTTGGCATTTTGTAGAGGGTTGACCTGCACAGTTTGAGCACTGAGACTACCACCACTATCTCCAATAATTTTTTTAAAAAGACCTGAAGATGCTTTTGAAATCATTAAAAGATCAACAGACCTTGAGCCAGCACTATTACCGTAAATTGTGACATCGTTAGGATTGCCACCAAATGAAGCTATATTTTTTTGCAACCATCGTAAAAATGCCACTTGATCTTTCATCCCAGCATTCCCGGGTATATTTTTTGTACCCAGACATAAAAATCCATGTGCTCCTAATCGATAGTTGAATGAAGCCACAATAACATCTTTATTGTGAACTACGTGCTTTGGAGTCAGCCGATTTGCATGACCGGTTTGATATGCACCACCATGAACATACGCAATAACTGGTAAATTAGTTTTATTCGTATTAGGAACATATATCGTTGCAACGAGACAATTTTCTAGGACTTGCATCCCATTAAACGTCTGAAAAAGATTATTGTTTTGAGGACATACAATGTTGTTTTCTGTAGCTTCAAAGGTCTCATCCCAAGTAGGTGGTGGTAGTGGACCCTGAAAATAATTGTCATTAATGTAATAAAAGATGTCCCTGGTCTCGTTCACTATGACTGTTCTTAGTTAATTGAAGGCTAGATAAAAATCAATATGTTTACTACACAATAAATATATCAAAACTATGAAAATTATTGTTCTATAGAAACCTACATTTTTTATTTTTTTTTGTTAAGAGCCTACTGGGTGAGGCTTTTCTTCGTCTTTTTTTTACTTGTTTTCGGACTGTACAAAATGGCATATGCAATCGAACACTGTTTCTCATTATTACCCTGAATCGATTTACTCCAGTGGGTGCAGTTGCATATGGAATGCCATAGAAGGCAAAAACATCAAAATTTGGCAACTTGTATCCTTTGACAGGACCTTGCTGAATTTTCACTAAAAGCGATGGTTCTTCATTTGCCGAGACGAAAGAAACAAATAACACGAAACTCCAGCGTAACAGCATTTTCTAAAAACATATTACCGTGAAACACTATATTGAGTTAATTTTTATGTTAAGCTAAGCTGTAATTGCCAACTTAGAGGTTTGTTTAAGAAAACTATACACACCTCCTCCGTGAGTTAAATTTGCACATTGTGTTATTGCCATCGATCGTCAAGCCTTTTATATTTCTTATTTAGTCATGTTTATCTCAAAAAAATAAGATTACATTGATGGCGATTATCTTTTCCTGCCACAGTTTTATCGTTGACTTTTCAGCAGATATTTTGACATGTTGTTTATCTATCGGGGTGTTATGTACATGTTTAATTTACATACAAGTTATCTGTGAGTACGTAACCTGTTAATATGACATAACTAACTGTAATTCCAACCATATTTTTATAGTATCAATCGATAACGATAACGTCAAAAACAACATTTAAGAATCAGCCAAAAATATATACTTATAGCGGTCACTATCAAATTCATTTACAATCTACTATTTACATTCCTCATGATAGAATTACGTTCAAACAAAAAAATACATGAGTAAAGATTAAAAATTTTAGGAGTAAAATTTAAGCGTAGGCCTATTGTAAGTATAACATGAAATAATCTGATTTAATAATTATTGCAAATCATAATAAAATGTACGTAAATTTAATTGATATAACTTCTTAGCGCCTATTATTCTCTAGTTGCAATTTTTCGGAAATGTTGCAAACCATTTTGTATATATAACATAATATTTACTAACTGCACAGACACACCTAGACCATTCATCAAACTATATTTTTTAAGGTTTCAAATACTTTTAAAGAATGCTTTTCAGTTTTATAGTAGCCAACAATTATATAAGTAGGTGGTAAAATAGAATAAATTACTCAGCGAACACAGGAAAGGTTTTAAAGTAACCTTTTTACACTAAATAATCTAGTAAAGCTTTGATACCATTGATCATTTGACACACAGCCATTTGGAAGGTTTCCAGGCAATCCGTTCTAAGTATCTTGATCGTAGAAAACTGAAGAGAACACTAATTGGATTGCCTCTATACAGTAATTTGAAATACACCTCTAACTATATGAACTCGTAAAATTTTAGAGCTTGTCTTACAGCTTCGTGTATGGTATTATTGTAACTCTTTATTTATACTAGGACGCCGCAGTGCTCGCAATTCTGCTTCGCTTAAGCACAAATTTGAGCGGAGCGAGTGTTCAACTTAAAGATTTAATTTTGTTGAAAGGACTTTTTTAGTTTTAGGTCTACTTCGAAGTTGTTTTTCCGCATATTTTGTGATTTATTCGTAAATATTATTGAGTTTTTATAGCCTATAGCACGGGAAATTTTTCCATCTTTAATTTTAAAAAAGAATTTTCAAAATCGGTTAAGCCGTTCAGAAGTCTTAGTGTTTGTACAGAGTGTCATAAGAGTGGGCGCATGGGAGCTTCGCTCAATAAACTATAGTGCATTGTCTCGAATTATGAACATAACACATTACACAAGGTCGTAAAAAGGTTCATCTCACGTCAGAAGGATTGCTTTCATCATAGGTATGGGATACCATACGCAAACTCAATATTGGTAACATCGGGATTAAATACAATTCCCTCCAAATCATTTGTAGTAAATGGATAAAATGAAACTAATTAGGTTTTAAAAATAACAGTTCGATAATAAGTTATTATTCTTAATTCGTTTAAGCACTTCTTTTTAGAAGATAATTAAACGCAATTGACTGCATTAAAATATTAAACTAGGTACTTTTACTACCTACCTGCCTAAGAGCTCAAGGATAAGACCAAATGGCATTACATGGTTGGGTACATCAGTTTTTACGATTTATGGGTCTAGTGCCGGGTTTAAGTACATATAGCCTAGACACATAGCTATACTCTGATTTTTAATTCCGTAGAATTCTAACATTTCATAAGTGTTGCTACTAAAAAAGTTCTCCACCGAAAAAGGGACAAATTAGAATTATTTGAGGGCAATAAAAAAATGCTACGTATTTTTATGTTTTACCTACAAAAAGGTAAATCTAAATATTTAGGTACTTACTCAAGTGACCTAATACAAAAATAACAAATATTTCAATATCACGTACAATATATCGAATAAACTTTAATTACTTTATTTTATTATTTAGCTGGCATCACTACCTACTAATTCCAGGTTTAATAAACCTTTTCAAAAAAATTAAATGTTATCATTACTTATGCGTTTTTCACTGTTTGTGATGAAAAAGAACGTAATTACCACTCGCCGTTAAACCACATTTAATGTGGAGCACCGCATTAAATAAAATGGGTACATTAATTAACAATAAAATGTATGTAAGACTCAGATGTTCAGACTCGTATTGAAATTGAAAACTGTGCCCGGCCAAAAAAGGTTTGCCATCACTGACGTGTCATAAAATGATAGCTGTCAGAATTCTACGGAATTAAAAATGAGAGTATAGGCTGGGCATAAATTTAAAATCATCTGATAATATTTACTATAATTTAAATTTAATCCGACGCTTTTACTAGAAATGTCAGTTGCGGAAGGATCGTGCCTAGATTCCCATACAAAAACAATATTCCTTACGTGAGTTTAAACAGCATTTTTGAGCTTGGAAACTTACACAGCCCCTTGTTTTGGATGGAAATCTAGAATAAGTATCCGCAATCCGATTATATAATTTATATCGTTGTCCATAGTTAAAATAGAAATATTATTATCTCGAATAGTTACTTTAGAATAGTCGTTCATTTCAAAACTTTTGTCAGAACAAACTACACAAAACTTTTGTCAAGTACACGTATACGTCAATACGGTTATGTCAGTTTTTAGAGTCAGCTTCCGCTTGAGCGAAAATATTTATCATACAATTTCAATAAGGAATCCTTTCTAAAAGATGCTTCTGAGCTAATATCAAGTATTTGATTTTAAACAATGAACACGCGAAGGGTAACCTAGGAATATTCAATGCTACGATTAATAAATATCGAACGAGTATTATTTTGTCTCACGGACTCTTTTGAAGAAGGTAATACGGCTAGGCAAATATTTTGTCCATAAGAGTCCTTTTCGGGCTGAAATAATTTCCTAATTGTTTATGGTACTGACATTTGAACTTGAATGTATTGTGTATCTTAGTCTAACTGAATGTGATGCAATGATGATCCTTTGGCTGTGGCGATATGTACCTATATGTAAAGAAAAATTGAAAGATTTTTAACAACACATAACTTAAACAAAACAAAAATACACACTATAGAAACTAATATAAAGCGTTATGCTTTTTTCTACCTTTATTGCAATAGCTAATAATAATAAAAAAATAACCAATCAAATACCTGTTAACTGAAAAACATATGTTAGCGATATAATTATTTTACTCCGTACTTATATCTTAAAAACAGAACGATTATAAAAAAGTATTTATTAATAAGTTACCGTAGTGGATGGTTAATTAAATGTCTACCTTATACAGTGAACGAAGAAGCGACCGTGTCTTACACCAATACATAGGCAATGAGTTAAACAAAATAAATGTTATTAATACAACAGTCGCAAATATGTGTCTGTTCCACAAAGGGAGATTTAATCCACGCAAGATTTTTCAAATACATGTGTCACTACACCCGCATACACATTTATATTATCATGTGTTTTTTGTTAACAACGTCAATCGAAGTCTTAATTTAGTGAATACTAGCACCCACACTGTAATAAATTCCACGCTGTAGGTTTCGAGTTTATTGCGAACAGATAGACGCGGCGGAGGACTTGTTTTTAATATAAAAGTTAGACGTATGCTTTAGCTAACTGCGTAGGCACAAGCTCTAGAACTCAATCATCTTTCATCATTAAGGTAGCGTAAGTTATGTTTTCGTTCGACTGCTTTTTCTCCTACTTTACAAATCAGAAGACATGAAAAAGTATTTTAATTTTCCAGGTTAATATCACTTACTATCGTTAAATAACGTCGCTTTTAAAATAATTTTTAAAATCGATTCTCTACATCCACAGATGACCACCCTACATCCTCACAAAATTTAACTTATTTTAATATAAGCATAGGTTAAATAAAAAAGGAATAAATTCATATTGTTATAATATACTATAGCTGATCCGGCAAACGTCGTTTTGCCATGTATATCATTTATAATAAAAAATAGGGGTTGCTCGTAGAGGGGTGAAAATTAGGGGTTGTATGTATTTTTTAATGCTGTATCGTAAATAAAAAAATAAAAATTTATCTAAAAAATAAATGAAAATAATTTAGGGGGATGAAAAATAGATGTTGTCCGATTCTTAGGCATACCCAATATGCACACAAAATTTCATGAGAATCGGTCAAGCCATTTCGGAGGAGTTTAACTACAAACACCGCGACACGAGAATTTTATATATTAGATATCTACGAGGCCCTTTACTAACAAGTAATTTATGATAGTGAACTCAAGCGGTTAATGGCATCGCTATCCTCAGTGGGTCAGTCAATAACCCGGACTTGATCAAATATATAAATCATTTTCAATTGGGTTTGAACTTGTGTGATGTTTGTTCTACTATAAATTTATAGAGTATGTTTGGTTGACCAGGCTAATCTTTGAAACTGTTGAGTCAATTTGAAAAAATTGTGGCTTCAAACTATCGAAGAAGACCAAAGGTATGTTAGGAATACCATGATATACCAACTATCGCAAAGCACCAGCTAATAATAATTATTTTATTGTCTACTTATTTTATTTTATTTTTGCTCTCAAACATCACACACGTTAAAAGGAAGACAATCAGATACTTATGAAAAAAATTAAATTTAAATTTCAAGTGTCACTTCACCAGCTTCTTCTGTCCATAGTTCAGCAAATCTCATAAGTAAAATTTTAAGGGCATCCCCGTCGAACTTTGAGATTTCTGGCTTGGAAGAAACTAGAAATAAATGATTTTGTCCCATTCGGTGTCGAGACCCTTGGTCCGTGGGGTCCTAGAGCTATAAGTCTTTTTAAGGAAATAGCAAATAGGTAAGTCGACATCACAGGTGACCGAAGAGCTAGCAGCTACCTCTAGTCGCTAGTCTAGCTATTCAAAGGGGGAATGCTGCCAGTGTCTTCGAAACCTTACCTAAAGGGACTCCTTTTAAAAATAAATTTTTTAGTAATTATATTACATTTTTAAGGTTATTAAGTATTACTTTTATATTATGTAATTTGGTTTTTCTTTATCGACGTTCATAAGTGTACATTATCTTATGAAAATATGTTATAGAAGCATTTACACGTACGAATCACATGAGTACTTAAGAAAGCGCAGGCCAGCGCTAACCAGATCTATGCAACTTCCTCACAATCGAGTAGCCTGCAATATCGCAGTACACAACTCACGAGGAGGCTCTTTATATTGAGGAACATGGATCCGCCTTCTATTTCGTATAGTCTGTGAGATAATTAATGATCTCAAAGGGGTCTCTCTTCCCTTTGAACTTCCCTCGGGTTAATCGGGATGTTATGTAACTTTTCGTCTTCTTCAATAGTTTGAGTCCACAAAATATATTTTTTAATTGTTTAATGTTTACTTTTGTTTTTAAAAGACATGAGTTGTACTGTATTCAATAGTTAACTTATAGTACTTTGATGAATAAGACCTTACACACATTGAATCGAAGATATTTGCGCCAATAATAAAAATAGATCAATTGAACCTAAATCTATTTTTCAATTGATTTATTTTTATAAGTCGACCTCAATACTTGATACACTGAAAAAAACAAAAGAACTACTTAACACCGACAGTCTTATATTTATTAAAGTTTAACAATAATTTACAGAAACATGGTTTTTTTTATTTACTTAAGTCGTATCAATACTTTGAAATACATTCTTGATTATGTACAGGTGTTATCCTAAATGTTACATTATTAAATTTTTATCGCACTGATAACCACACAGATTCACTACGCTATAATAAATTAAATATGTTATGAAAATTGGTAATATTCTCGATATATAAAACTATATTCTAGAATTTAAATTTCATTAAATTACTAAAAATATAAATCTAAGAGAACAAACATTACAGAATTTTTGCCAATCCCTCACTACCATCAGGCCATGTCGGTATATCTGGTTTGATTTTATCAACTTTCAGCCAAATACATTTATATAAAAAGGCAGCAACTGTCGCACCTAAAAAGGGCCCAACCCAATAAATCCAATGCGACCGCCACGTGAAAGTCCACAAGGCTGGTCCCAGTGATCTTGCAGGATTCATTCCAGCTCCGGTTAATGGCCCACCAGCTAAAGATAACCCAGCTACGGTCAGACCGCACTTAATTGAACTGCTCTCTTGTAGATCCTTATTAACTGGATCCCACAGCGCGCAAGTGATAAACACTAATGCAGCTGTCAAAACAACCTCTATACCTATCGCTTGATATATCGAATACCTCAACAATGGTGTCGTTGTACAAACACCGCTTGATATAAATCCCTCCGGTGACAATGCCACCAAAATCCCATACCCTATTATAGATCCAATGCACTGAGCTATAATGTAGGCGATTCCAAGGATCCATGAAATTTGTCCCCAAATAACAGCAGCCCAAGTGATAACTGGGTTCATGTGGGCTCCTGAGATGTGACCAAACGCTTGAATGTTAAAGGTGACGATTAGGCCAAATCCCAAAGGTCCATACATTGGGTGGCTTGCGAATCCATCAATTGGTATGCAGGTCATGCATCCCAAGGAGATAAGGAGCATAGTTGCGATAACTTCTGCAAGAACCGCTCTCCAGTTTAGGGTCTTCCATATTTCTGATTTAATTGGAATATCCTTTGCGTTTTCGCTCTGTCCCACCAAATGAGCGTTCACTGACATTGTTTGCACTTAACTGGGCAACGATGAATCACTTCAAAACATTGTGCATTCATTATTAAACATCACATGTGGTACGGTAGGTACGTATGCCTCGAGCACTGACTCCTGAATAAGTGATTAAAGAATGAAATCACAACGATGTGATTTTGATACTGTTATCTATGAAGGTATATTAATTACCAGTCAGGCTCTCTTACTGTTGTACTTTTTTAATGAGTTTTAGCTCTTTATAACTTTGTAGTCAGAGTATGAAATGGTTTCACAATCTCCTATATTATGTAAGTCTGTACTAAGTTTCGTATTATAATGAAAATAATAAACATAGGTAACTTGTACATACATTGGCTACATTGAAAGTATTGGTAATAAAAAAAGTATTTTATGAAAGCAGCTATGTAAGGTTCTTGCACCCATTAAAAACAATGTGTTACGATGTTACTTAAATATTAAATTTGTATTGCTAATATCACCAAAAAAGGAAAAAAAATTAGGATTTTTTAATAAAAATTCAGGATTTACAAATTGTTATTTATAGCATACAAGTTCTAAAAGTAATGACAAAATGTCTCCCTGTATATAAAAAAAAAATCCGAAATTATCTTCCTTATATGTATATTGATATTTTTAAGAGGCAGCAACAAGACAACAAATAGATAAAATATTAATACTATTTGAAATTGTACAACATTACCTTATTTCCCTCAGTTACAAAATATATTAAGAGAGATTCGCCACTAAACTATACAAACACCAGTACTAGAGATAAGTAATTTTTGAGTACCTTGAATATTCTGCCACTAGAGTTTGAAGACGTTGAAAACCCACATTCGAGTTGCCTAATTTGTTTCTTATATTTCATGAGTAATTAACATTTTCTCACACGGCAAACATTATGCATCTGCAATGACCTACATGTATGGCGAAGACATATAGACACAGATGCCTGATATTTACCATTAAAATATCATCCCCGCTGACTCGTTTTATCGCCGCACGAGACGTAATAATTCCAGGTTTCATCCGCACCATCTTGGTGGCTTTTTCGAGCTAGCGAAATGAAGAAGCGGCGATGGAGGTGTTCCTTGGGAGATAAGTCCTCAATATATTTAAAAAGAGAGCTTACTCCTTCCTCCAAGGCCGTACCCACTAAAATTAGTGTCCGTGTGCTGTTTTTTTAAATGTTTGAACCTTTTTGTAAATGTTATCTATTCCATATATCTGTAGTATAATTCTATTTTACTATATATTATACATGTTAGCTGTAGGATTATAAGCAAATAAATAAATAAACATATTGCATCTGCTTTTAGAAGAATTCTTAAAAATACATTTCAACTGTAGCAAAATTAATAAAGTATGTATTTAAATTGACAATGACGTTGAAAATTGTAATAAAAAATAAATTATTATCCGTAACAATACAAATTAACTCAATTTTATGACATGCCAAGCTTAATTAACAAAGCGTAAATAAATGGTGAGCATTACGTTGATAAACGGCGATGTTAAATTTTATTAAGAGATTCTCTTTGTTTTAATTAAAAGGGATATTTGCGAGGGGCTTTAACTTTAGGCTTATAACACGGCAATTGATTGCTCTAATTATTTATTAGTCTATAGCAGTGACTCTCGATCTAATTATGTAATCTTAATCATAAATCAATTATTCAAATTGGTAAGAGATGGATTGATATCAAAAGTATTGTAATACTTTTGTAACGACGGTAATATACTGCTCAAAACAACTAGCGGAACAAGATTTTTCTCCTTTCTATTGCTTAAACTAAAATTAGATTTAAATTAACTTGTACGCTATTTTTTACCTTGTTAATTTGTTAATTACTACAATTAATAAAAAAATTCAATTTTTATTTTTTTTATTAAAAAAAAATTAAAATGTGCATTGTAGACGAAAAACTAATTGGTGATAAAAAAGGTCCATCAAAGAAATATTCTTATATCGTTTGAATATTCGTCTTTAGTGACTTTCAGTAACGTGTGTGGCCTCCATGAGCCCTAATCACGGCTTGACAACGACGCGGCATGCTTCGTTGATCCTCCGAGAATATCTTCTTGTGGAATTCGCTCGACGAACAAATCCGCCCCAAACCATCACAGAGCCACATCCAAATTTGTCATATTCCTGGACTGCTGCTGCACTGTATCGCTCGCCTGGGCGTCTGTAAACACGGAGACGACCATCGCAACGTGTTAGACGGAATCGTGATTCGTCAGTAAAAAGCACTGGCCTCCAATGTCGAAGTTGCCAATTAGCGTGATTTTGCGCGAACTGTCGGCGAGCTTGTCTATGTTGAATTGTTAGACGCACAGCCCGAACTGGTCGGCGTGATCTCAAATTGGCTTCCAACAACCTATTTCTTACCGTCTAGTCGGAAATTTCTACACCAGTAGCCGTCCTTAGTGTATTTTGTAGATCTCTTGCAGTTGTGGTGCGGTTACGTAAAGCACAGTTGACGATGTAGCGATCTTGCAAACGTGTAGTTTTTCTCTTTCGACCTTGACCACGCCTTCGTGAGTATTCTCCCGTCTCACGGTATCGCTTCCAAAGTCTGTAGATAACAGAAGGGGCTACTCCTAGATCATTTCCTACATAACGCATAGTTCGACCCTCTTCAAGCAAAGCGATAGCTCGGGAGACATGCAATTCAGTCAGATCTGGCATTATGACCTAAACTCACTCGCTTCAATGAGTAACAATACTCAAAAGGCTCACTTCATTTTCTATTAATACTCAAAAGATTGAAAAAAACAACTTAAAATGTGTTTTTTAATACAGTTGCTCAAAAAGTGGCGTATTGCAGGGACGTATAGCGTTCGGGATGTGGGCTATTACACACTCGTGCTTTTTTTTTTTACCTTTTCCGAACTAGTGCGTTTTCTTTCCCAACTGTCAAAATAATGTCTATTAAAAAGAAAAAACCAACCACGAAGTTTTAACTAAAAAAAATTCATAGAAATTTTTATGATTCATGCAAATATTTCTAAAAAGAAGCTACTGCTTTGTTTCAATATAAGACTTAATGATTTGATTCAATGAGTTAGGTTAGATTTCATTTCATCTCCTTAAATTTCATTTCATATCAATAAAAAATTGTACTGAAGACTTGGCTGTATGGGCATACTTCCCTTTGCCTACCCAGAATGGGTGAAGAAAAAAAAAATCTGCTTATATTCTTTTACGGTTGGCGCCATTTTCCAAAAATGTTCTTTGCGCGTTTAGTTGTTTGTTATATTATATAATAAAATAAAAAAAAATAAAAAAATAAAATAAAAAAAAAATAAAAAATAAAAATAGCCTTTATTCGAGTACACTATAACTACAGTAAGTCTATGTCTTTTAAGTTTTACACTTGTACTCGACCTCCGATGGAGTGAAGGCCTCCTCCAGATTCTTCCACTTATCCCTATTTGATGCGAAAATTTTCCAGTTTTTTCCCGCTATCCCTTTTATATCGTCTTCCCAAGTTTTCGGTGGGCATCCTCTCTTTCTTCTTCCCACTGGGCCCTTCCAAGTAAGGGTCTTTTTGACCCATCTGCCATCACAAATGCGGCCAATGTGACCGGCCCATTTCCATTTTAGCCTTTTTGTATAAGTTACAACATCTTTTATTTTTGTACGACTTCGTATAATCTTGTTTTTTATTTTGTCTTTAAGCTTCAATTGAAGAATGGAGCGCTCCATAGCCCTTTGGCATACTCCAATCTTTTTTATTAACGCCTTGTTAAAAATCCAGGTTTGGCATCCGTATGACAAACATGGAAGTATGCATGTGTCCATGACTGTTCTTTTTATAGTTAAGTTATGGTTGGATTTCAGTACTTCTTTTAAAGCCCAATATTTGTGCCATGCTAGGTTTACACGTCTGTTTGTTTCTTCCACATGTCTGTTTTGGCTAAACGATATTTGTTTTCCTAGGTATATGTAGTTTTGGACATATTCAAGAGACGTGGCGTTGACAAAAATTGGTCGTTCTTTGCTGTTAGTCATAACTTTAGTTTTGGAGGTATTCATTTCTAGGCCAATGCTTTTACTTGCGCAGACTAATTCGTTAAGCATGTCTTGTAGCTGCGTCGCACTGTTTGAGAAGATAACTATATCGTCGGCGAATCTCAAGTTGCTTAGATACTGACCATTTATTTCTATCCCTTTTTTCTCCCATTGAAGGGTTTTCATTACGCTTTGTAGAACCGTTATAAATATTCTAGGTGACAAAGGATCGCCTTGTCTTACGCCTCTGCATATTTTTATTTCTGGGCCAATTCTGTCTAACTTCACGCGGCTTACGCTTTGCTGGTATATATTTTGTATGAGTTCTATTATTTCATAAGGAACATTACATTCACCAAGAGCTTGCCACATGCTTTTGTGAGATATGGTGTCAAAAGCTTTGGCGTAATCAACGAAACCTAGGTATAGGGGGCAGTTTTGGTCGATATATTTTTCTATAATCATGTCTAAGGCATGAATATGATCTATAGTAGAGAAGCCTCTTCTAAAACCAGCTTGTTCTACTGGTTGATATTCTTCGGTATATTTTGACAAGCGTCGTTCTAGACAGGAAGCGAACAATTTGTACATACTAGGTTGCAAGCTTATCGGGCGGTAGTTGCCCACATCAGTCGGGTCCCCTTTTTTATATAGTAAAATTATGTCAGACCGTGCCCATTCTCTGGGTATTTTTCGTGAATCCATAACCATATTAAAAAGCCTTGTTATGGGGGTTGCTAACAAAAATCTTCCAACTTTTATAGCTTCATTTGTTATGCCATCTGGTCCACAGCTTTTGTCTACCTTTAATTGTTCCATAGCTTTGATAACTTCATAAGTTGAAAATCTTTCAGTCGATAAGTTGTTGTGATGGATTTCGAAATTTTTTATCTGTATTATTAATTATATTATTATTAGGGCCATATAACTCCTTGTAAAATTTAGTAGCTATCTCAATTATTTTGGATCTAGAGTATGTTGTCGATGATGAACTGGTTTTTATTCGAGGTATCCATTGTTTGGTTCTGTTTAGTGCTCTAAAACCTTTTTTTATACTCCTTGATTCTGTTAGAAATTTCTCTAGTACTTGTAATCTATGTTTTTTATTGTCTTGTTTAATCATTTTATGTATATTTTTATACAGATATGTTCGTTCCTTCTTTTCTATGCTGCTTAAATGTGTTTTACGTGTCAACTCGTTTCTTCTGGATATCAGATCCTTTATGTGATTTGAGATAATATAACCTTTACGATTATATCTATTTTTAGTTTTTAATGTAACGGCTCTTATGCTTCTCGTAAGTGACGTCTTAATTTGGTCATAATATTTGTTTACGTTGCCTTCATCAATATCTTTTATGTCTTTTATTTTGGTTTCTAAAGTTTTTAAATATGACTCTTCCTCTTCTGGGGACTTAAGATAAGAGTATGCACTATTTTTATATTTTACCCGACTCTTTTTTAGGTCTTTTACTATATATGTGCATCTTACAAGACTGTGATCGCTGGCAAATGATAGATTGTGCACCACTTCAATGTTTTGTATATGTCGCATGTCATTTGTTAATATATAGTCAATTTGACTTCTTCGCTTTTTGGGGGAAAGCCAGGTCCATAGGTTTTTTAGCTTCTTTGTAAATTGGGTATTTATTATCTTTAAGTCGTTTTCACGGCAAAATTGCAGGAGCAGATCTCCTCTTTGATCCCGTTTACCAAAGCAATTTGCACCCATTACTCTTTCTTCACCAGGCAACCTTTTTCCTATTCTAGCATTAAAGTCACCTGCTAATATAAACTGCTTGTTGCAGTGCTTCATAGCATTACGTACTTGTTCATAGAATTTCTCTATCTCATTGTCGCTTGCTTCGGAAGTGGGTGCATGGACTTGGATAATAGACATTTTTTTTTAATTTAAAATGCAGATTCGTTCTGATACACCAATAAAACTCTCAATGTATTGCTTGAGTCTTTTCTTTAAGAGAAACCCTACGCCTAAGTGTCCCTTTCTTTCACCGAAGTAACAAAATATATGTTCACTATCCTCTTCAATGTTATATCCTTCTCTTCTTATTTCTGATAAGCCAATAATGTCATACCTTATTGAAGCAATACTTTCTTTAAATTCTAGGAGTTTTTCGTCTGATGATAGTGATCTCGCGTTAAAAGTACAAATAAATATATGGGAATTTTCTGTTGCGGGAGAGATGTGATGTGGTGGGTGAGATCTGTTGGAATTGATTGTATTTGTTAAGAATTGTGAATTAGGAGGGTAGTAGTCGCTGAGCCCCACGGTGACCAGCCGGCTTGGGGTGGTAAGTGCATGTTTTCTTTCGTTGTCCTTTGTTGGTGTTGATCTACAGTTAGCATTGTTTTTGTTCCGGTTGTCGGGGGTAGTTAGTTGTTTTTTGATACCTCTGAAAGTGAGCTAGACCTTCCCCTTGCTATATAATTTAATAAATTAGGTTTTATTACATCCTTTGTATTCGTTGCAGTTGGCATCGTTGCTTTGTTAGGGTTTGACCTCTTTTGTGTAGGTGATATCGGCGAGTCACTCTGTTCCCGCTTCCTTTTTTCACGGCCTGGATCATTTGGTTTTTTAACGATTAGCTTATCATATTTGATATATGCAAAGTTACCCTTGTTTCTTTCTTCCTCTACTTTTGGTTGCAGTTGCTTTCGGGTTTCTATTATGTGCTTCGGGTAGTCTTCTTTTACATAGATCCCAGATGGAAGGCTGGATTTATTTTTAAGTATCAAATGTTTTTTCCAAATTGTCGTCAAGGAAACGACTACTGGCCGATTCTTGTTAGTTTGTGCTCCAATTCTGTAAACATTGCTTATTTCTTGGCTGTCTAGATGTAAGCCTGTATCTGTTATAATTTCTTTGATATAGTCTACCAGTTCAGATTCCCTTTTTCCCTTTTCTTCAACTCCAAAAAATACCAAATTCTTTTTTCTTTTATCTATTTCCATTTGATCTAGTTTTTGTTCAAGTTTTGTAATCTGAGTTTTTAATTTTTTGTTTTCTTGAATAATTGAATCCATCTTATTATTTATCGCTTCCATAACGTTTGTGGTTACTGCTGATGTTATAGTTAGAGTTTGTTGGTTTAATTTTTCCTCTAATTTTTCCCAAAGCATTACGATATTTTTATCCATACTAGGGAAAAGTGGAATTAATAAATTGTAACACCTTTAGCTAATTAATTAATTTTTTTTTTAATCTTGCAACACTGCCCGGTACTGCTGCGTAGGTTGGTACTTGATGAGATGTCAGTTGTTAGATGCGAATTACGTGTAATGGCGGACTATGAACTTTCACTTTTTAGTGGGATATCAGAAGTTGTTTCGGGATTGTTTTACGATATAGTTTTTAATCGCACTGTTTTTATAACTGTAGTTCTTATCTTTGCACTTTTCGTATAAGTTTATTGGTGAATTGTAGTTGAATGTTCAGTATTTTGTCACTTTTCACTATTTAATTACGGAGCTCAATTATGTACGTGTTTACGTTTACGACACCGACGTTATATTATATATTAAATATAAATGAAAAATCATACGAAATAAACAATAGTTTGTCTCAAACAGTAAATAAATATGCAACCTAAAACTTCTCCAGTTAGTATAAAAAACTGTACCAATGTATATGTGAACAATAATTTGTATAAGAAATAAATGATTAGTGAGTTGAGTTTATTGTTTTTTTATTATTTTATTAAATTTCATAATTTTTTCGCAACTGTATTAAAAATAGTTGTTCAGTACACGTGCGGAACCGTCATTGCAACTTGTTCCGACTGTCAACCCTCACCTTCGGCTGCGCCTCGGCTCGGGTAGACATTTGTCGAAACTCTTTGCAATGACAGGCTTTCCGCACTTGTAATGAAATATACTATTCTGTGATTAGAAAGTAATGAAAATTCAAAGACGTCACTTTGTTTTTAGGTGTTTCTAGACACACTGCCACATTATTATAGGACTACTAACCAAAACGCCGATGCTCTTTTGGTTTTTTTATTTTCTTCGACAATGCCTTAACATTATCTAGTGGCCAGTAATAATTAAAACCTTAAGTAAAAAGTTAAGTTCTACTTTAAAGTTTTGTTCCCGTAATTGTTTTGAGCAGTATATATTGGAATAATGTATAATATAAAACACGTTGTATGGATATTGTAGACAATATTTTGTAAAAATAGGTAAAACTGTGCTTTATGTTCATGTTTGAATGTGGATTCCATTTTTGACAAGACAAGACAAGACAAGACAAGACAAGACAAGGCAAGACAAGACAAGACAAGACAAGACAAGACAAGATAAGTTAATAAAATAAAAAAAAAAAAAAAAAAATAAAATAAAATAGAATAAAAAAAAATAAAAAAATAAGACAAGAAAAGAAGAAGAATAAGACAAAAGGTTTAACGAGTAAACTCAAAACTCCTGGACTAATTTCATAAGCAAGATAGGCTTTATTTATATCGAGTAGTGCTCGCGGAACCACTTGTCCATGTATTCAATCTTTGCCTTAAAATATCAACATTCCCAGATCGTTGGAAAAGTAGCAAAGTGGTTCCAGTGCCTAAAGGTGGAACCAAGTGGATCATTATAGACCGGTGACGATTCTATCAAAAGGTTATGGAGTCAGCTCAAAGCTTCAAAGTACATTGTAGACCAGGTAGGCTCTCAACTCTCGGACTCCCAACATTGACGTGTTCTTGCAGGAATTAGCAGAAGTTGGCTTCACCGCGTCATTTATACGGTTTATGGTAAGTCACATAACGGATAGCATAGATAGCAGTATTGAATATTCTGGAATAAAATGGATCTTAAATTATCATTAAATAGCGCGGGAGATTGGCTACGATTACAGCAGGGTAGTAATTTCGTGCAGTAAAAATGGACTGCAGCTTAAATCTGCGAAATGTGCTGTGCTATTTCCTTTTTCAGAGCACGACACCGATTCTCTATAATTATTACAACAACACAATAAATTTCAAGAGTAGCAGAAGTCTTGTTTAGACCTTGCGGTTCATTTAAACGTAGAATTGAATTTTCGTTGCACACTGGCTGAATTCACAAGAATAGCATTATTTAAAATTAGGTATAAAAAGGTTTTTTGTTTTCTTGTTTTGTTTCTATTATGTTCTTAGTTTCATTTAATAAGGTTGTTTATTGTATTAGTATTAAGTTACTGTTAAAATATAAAATAAAGAAAAAATTTTTTTTATATATATTTGTTTAAAATAGTTACTTCTAAGTAAGTACAAATTGAATACATATAGAAACATAAAACTTTAAGCGAACTGCGCTACAAAGTTTAGGAAAGTCTTGTTTAGCAAACATTTCGTACAATCAAAAGTAGGTTAAGTTCTTGAAACGGAAAATGAAACTTAGTTCATGAAATTTGCACTTCACTCATAATTAAACTTAGAGAAGAAAGATTTTACTCTAACCCGTGCATAATTAAAGCTTAAACTGAGCAAGAACGCTCAAAACCTTATTAATGTAGTAATACGGATAATTAATTTTAAATATATTGCAAAAAGTAGCCTGTGGTGTTCCATGTTTTTATTAACTGGGCCCGAGACTCAGCCTTTCGCGGGACTGATTACAAGGATTTATTAATACAGATCCATATGAAGCGTAGACAAATAACTTACGTCGCAATGTTTTCGGCAAAATGCGAATCGCAGGAGACCAGCTTTTTCACGGCGAGTACCTTAGTTTTAAAGATTATATCAGAAATGTTGTACGCTCGAGGGACGTTTTGTGGTTATCTTTTGTGTAACTTTTAGCAATGTTCATGTGTTGAGTACACTCACTGTTGCTGAGTTAAATTTGTATGTTCCCAAATATGTATAGAAAATAAAGCGAAATAGATGTTAAGCTGGTATATAAATAATTTTCTTGGGCGATATCTTGCGTCTGAACAAATTTGTACTGACAAATGTATTTTTCTATGTACGCAATTAAAGTTTTTAGATCTTGCTTATTATGTTTAAACCGTGTCAACAAACTAAAATCAAATTAGGAATCAGATAAAGCTTTATCAAGTTTCCGCTTACAGGGTTATCACTCTGATAGCCACGTTTCAAGAGTATTATTTTACCATGAGCCAAAAACAAGTCAAAAATTTCGTTTGGTCTTCGATGTTTTGAATCTTTCGAAGTCAACATAAAATGAAGTCTGAAGCGCATCTATATTTAATGATATAGAGGTGTACTCGTACTATCTTGTGAACTTGAGTCCATATGTTACTGTCACACGTCGAAGCTTGGGCGTTTTTTAGGCTCGCCAAATCGAACTATAAGAAATTTCTATCTCACCTCAACCTAACGTGATCCTTCGTTCAAACGTCTAGTGTAACTTTATGATAGTATGGTTCAAAATAAAGATTTAATAAAATATAGTATAGTGTTTTTTTTATATAAATCAACACGATCACTATGTCATTGTTGCTTACACTCTTCCCTTTTTTTAATAGGATGAATCCTTTATGGTCTCTTACACTGTAGTTGTGCATTGGCGCTGAGTGTGGGACTGGAACTCTATCACTTCAGGATACCTATTAGATGGTGCGGGATATCTACGATCTTTCGAAGTCTTTCGAACCGTTTACCTGTTTGTTAGATGTTTGTCTGTCCAATTTTCTTAAGCACGAATATCCTGTATAATATTAGATCTCCTTACTTTAAATTTAGTGTCCATCCTTAACAAATTAGCACAACCATAAATTAACGATGTTGACTTTTAATTATAACATATTATTTTAAAAAACTTTGCATGTATGTATGTTTTATTTGTATATTAATACCGCTAGGGACAAATTCTCAGCCCTACATTTCATTTTCCTGATATTTAAATTCGATAAGAAGAAAAGGTGAACGGTTGAATAGAAAATGACTGTGTGTCAAAGGAAACTTCGTGCTAGTGATTCACCAGGGAGACGAGAAATTCACTTAGCGTTTCGAATTTTCCAATGAAATTATTTTATAGAGAGAGGAAAATCTAAAATATAAAGACTATTTTCGAGCTCAAAGACTTTAGTTGTAAAATTACTGAACGTAAGAAACCCTCGTAAAATGAACGTTATTTTGTCTGCGGGCATTCCTGTGAGAGTTATTATGTACTTAGTTGACTACATATGAGCCCAGGCGCTTACCAAATTTAACTAGGTTATTCTATCACTCAGCAAAATAAGTTAGCTTAGCTAAATATATTTAAGGTAAGCCTTAAGATTTTACCGTTTTCACTTGAAAATTATTTTGTAAGAGTTATTATGTACTTAGGTGACTACATATGAGCCCAGGGCCTTACAAAATTTAACTAGATTATTCTATCACTTAGAAAATAACAAAAACCCTCACTGTCAGCAGACTTACACAACATATAAAGGAGCTTGTAGGAATAAGATAACAATAATATCAGATGATATCAGCCTCCATTAAAAAAAGGCTTTTTGTTAAATCGAATATCTGCATTTTAAGTTTTCTTATGCTCAATAACAGAACAGATTTCCGCCGATCACTTGATAAAGTGTTTTTCTTTTTTTCAGTTATTATTTCGTTGCTATAAGCTGTTATTATTTATCTTAAACAATATCCTCTAATACAAGTTGGTTTGTAATAGTTAAAAATGATCAAATTACTATCAATGCGGTTGATATCATAAATCAAAGACTTTATCTTAAATTATCTCATCAAGCCTCACTTTTGTGTTTAACTATATTTCCTTTGAAATGTTAAATTGAGCAGCATTCTGATACCATTTGAATTTCCAGTGAAATTGTGTCTTTGAATTCAGTAATCAAATGAATTACTAAACACCTTTCAGGGTACACCACATATCTACGTAAATTAAATGATTAGATATTTATAGCTTTTTTTCTTATCGGTGTATCAAATAGATATTTAATCATTTCAAAGGACATAATAACATAGATAAAAAAGAACATAATTCTTGATCCATTTTAATCAAATTCGTATATAACACTGTTTCATAATGCGTCATAACATAATAAATATAAATATACACGGTTTAGCACTTCTGGGAATTAGCCGTTGGTCTTTAATCCTGGATATAATGGTCCCGGGTTCGATTCCAGGTGAAACAATTTAAGTACACCTTAGTAAATTCATTAATAAAGCAGAGAAATAAGT